AAAACAGATGATGTGAATAAAATGCAACTTTTTCGAGAAAAAATTTCTCATGGAGACAACTATTACTTTATCTTCCTTTTATCTTATGCCATTATGTATTTTAAAATTAAGCATAGGGCTGACAATGTAACTCAGAAAGCGCATGTCTTAGAATGTATGTGTGAGGCTTTGTATTAGTTCAATCCCTAGCACCACCACCAAAGGAGGGAGAAAATATGCCAGGCATGGCAGTGCTTGCCTATAATCCCAGCAACTCAGGAGGCTTAGGCAGGAGGATTGCAAATTCAAGGACAGCCTTAGCAATTTAGTGAGGCCCTAGGCAACTTAGCAAAAACCTGTCTCAAAATAAAATAAAAAGGGGTGAGGATGTATATCTCAGTGGTGGAGTGATCCTGGGTTCCATCCCCAGTACTGGGAGGAAAAAAAAAAAAATCAGCTCTATAAACAAATAATTTGTTATAGAAGCAAGACTGATACCATAAGGATTATTTGTAAGTTAGTAAACATACGCCAGCATCTTTTTCTTTTTCATCCTCCTTATCATCTTTGTCTTTTTTCTTCTCTTTAGAACTTTCCCCACTTTCTGTTTTCTCTTTGGACCTAGACCTACCAAAAAAGAGAAACAGAGAAAGAGATATCAACTATTGGTCCTTGGAAACATTCATTTTAAAATGCCTCCACAGACCAGTATTTCACTTTTTTAGTTAGTTAAGAAATAAACTTCTAGGAATCAACTGCATTCTCATATTACATTAAAAAACATCCTGAAAATATAATGTAAAAAATTAATCCCTGACACTAATGGCAAACAATACTATTTAGAAATATAACCAAGAAAATCTGAATGTACCATATTAAAAACAATACCAAAATTTAAATAGGAAAATAAAAACTTAAATAGAGAAATATACTATGACATAACATGCCTACAGTCCCAGCACCTAGAAGGCTGGGACAAGAGGATCACTTGAGCCCAAAATTCAAGATCAGTCTGGGCAACATCTTAATGTTCTGTAAGGTAATTTATGTATATAATAAGATTTAAAACCACAATTGGCTTGTATGTGACTTAAGGTTTCTTATAATGATTAAAAATGTCTTAATTTTAATGTAATCAAATTAATCATTCTTCCCCCACCTTTATATGTGGTGTTAGTCTCTGAGATTACAAATACTTCCAGACTTGATAAAGATATTCAGAGATAAAAGATATTCTTCAGCATAAACTTGTAAAAGATTTAATGTTACCACCTGTTTTGGTCTTTAATCTATCTGGAATTGCTTTATATGCACACAGTAGGCAAGTAGTTTTATTTCATTATAAACTAGCAAATGACATTAACACTAAATTTTAATAACTTGTCCTCAGTGACTAGCAGGATCTGTTTCTGGGCTCTTTATATGGTTCCACTGGTCTATCCGACCAGCCCTACATTAATACCACACTGACCTGATTTTAATAACTTTTTGACAACCTTCAGACACTTGGCAGAAAAAATCCTCCAACACTGTTCTTCAAGAATATTTACATTCCTTTATATTTCTAGTCTTATGATGAGCTTATAAAATGCTCTTTCAACTCAATTCTTGTAAGAAACTTTAAAATATGAATATATGTTAAGTTTAATAAAATATTTTTCCTTAATCTATTTAACAAGCACATGACTTTTCTCCTTAAATCATATTAACACAGAACATTACAATGTAAACGTTACAATTGCAAATTACATTTACAATTTTGTAAAGCTAAACCATGTTCCCATTTTTAAAAAAACTCAATTTATTTATGCTACCTTTTACATAGACTGTTGGATTTAATGTTAATCTTCATGTTTATATTGAATGTAGCCTACAATTTTCTTTTCTCATATTGACCTTGTCAGGTTTATATCCATTATTCTCAATGTATAAGATCTTTAATCATCTAAAGTAAAAATTGAACCACCCTAATTTGAAATCCAAAATCTGAAATGTTCCAATATCCTAAATTTTTGAGCACCCATAACACCACAAGAGGAAAATTCAACACCTGATTTCATATGACAACTTGCACTCAAAATGCAGATGCACTAGGCTGGGGCTGTAGCTCAGTGGCAGAACACTTGCCTAGCATGCATGAGGCACTGGGTTCAATCCTTAACACCACATAAAAACAAATAAAGGCATGCCATCCATCTACAACTATAAAAAAATTTTTTTTAAATGCAGGTGAACTAAAAATAATGTATAAAATTACCTTTGGGCTATGCGAATAAAATATATATGAAACATAAATAAGTTTTCTGATTAGTCTTGGGTCTCATCCCTAGGACATCTCATCATGAATATACAAATAGCCCAAAATTGGGTTGAGGTTGTGGCTCAGCGGTAGCCCACTTGCCTGGCATGTGTGAGGCACTGGGTTCGATTCTCAGCACCACATAAAA